GGGAAAGATGTGGTTTAAAACATACACTTAAATCTGGTGTCCCTAGAAACAAGAGAATGTTTAAGGAAGCCATGATTTGTAGGGTCCTCTAAAAATCACTTCCCGCTATTATTTTTCAGATCCTGTATTGCAGCTATAATTCCTCCAACCCAGCAGAGAGCTGGTCACGAAATCACTAGCATACAGCCACTCCTCCAAATATCCATTACTGTACAATCTTCCAGATTAGAGAACTTTCTGCCTCACACTGAAGTGATCGCACAGCTGGGAACTATCCTGAATCCAGCCATCTGGGAAGGCTGCAGTGTTTTGGTGGATTATTATTGCTGTCAAATGGTTTCACTTCTCCGCCCCCACAAGTCACACATGGTTTGCTTCATGGCAACGAGGCATTACCCCATGGAAAGACTGTCGGCTGTGGCCCCCTGGGGAGTGCAGTTGCAGTTAAAATTGCATTGTACAACTCTGGATCTCCTCCCTTGCTACTTTCCATGTCAGATTTGCTCAGCTGGGAAGTCAGAAGGTGGTTTCTCCTAGACGTAGCGCTCTCCTGGAGGTTTTAAAACCCAAAGAGAGTTCAGCAGATGAGGCACTTCACTGAGTCTTTGAAGTTCTGGGTTCCAGTCCTTGTTCCGCCAGACTCCCTGCGTGGCCTTGGACCAGTGAAGTGCTCTGTGCCTCTCTTGTAAAGGGGGGGAAGCACGTTAGGGGCTTGTGATTGAATGCAAGGGTCTTATTACAATGGTGGGAGCAACAGAAGTACTTACTGTGAATTAAATCAGTACGATAACTAATAAGGATTTGATGCTCATTTCTGAGACATCGACTGCCCAGCCCATTGGGAAGCCCTAGAAATACAAGCTTGGTCTGATCCCACAAGGTGCTGAGCATTTCCCGGAAGGTGCTGGGAACAGAGGGGGCTCAGCTCCACCAAGGTCTGGGTCAATCCTCCAATCAGCCTCAGAACTGTCAGCTGGTCTAGATTCCAGCTCACTTGTCTGTGGATGTGTCTGCTCCATAGCACTGACCAATAGCTTGTTTGGATCACTGGAGACAGTGGCTAGGCCTTTCAAACACATTTGAAAAAACAGATTCAAGCAGCAGAAAGATGGCTGGGGCAGGGTTAAGGGTCTAACAAGGCACATCGGAGCTCAGTTTGCACACACCATTGCTTTAAAAGGCGCTTTTGCCAACCCAGAATCCCACTCATGGCCCTACTGAGCTATCGTTTCCCTATCAGCATGTTAACGAGTCAGTTTCCTTTTTTCCCTTCACTTGACTCATAATCTGGTCAGCAATTTACAGTAAAAATTAAGGAAACCCAGTAACAGGAATTTACTTCCCATCAGCCCACTTAAGCGCTGACCGGCCCAATGGAGCACTTACCAAAATTGGATTCGTCGCCCAGTTCCTTCCCGTATCGGATCATGCTCTCCCCCAGGAGCCCTTCCGACTGTGGATAGCCAGGGTTTTTCACCTGGCCTCGGATCTTTGACATCGTGTTGAGCATCGTTAACTTGGCTCTGGAAGCTGGCACAAGAGACAGCCACATCTGTGTTTGCAATCTGTGGACTTGCCAGCAAGCAAGCGACCATTTGCCAGCTTTGTTTTTTAAATTACTCCCCTTGCCAAGAAACTTTATTGTCTTAGTCTCCCAGCAATATTGCTAGCTCTAAAAAAAAGCCCCCTTCAAGGGAGCAAGCAGAAAATAGTTCAGCACTTGCCAACTAGGTCTAAAGAGGAATTCCTCAGCCCTCCTGTTGTTCTAGTTAATCCCTAGTTGCTTGACTCAATGAGACTGACTAGATTTGAGCAGGAAAGCAGTCAGGGAATGCCAGTGAAACGTCTCTCCCACCTCACAAAAGACAACTCCATTCCTAAACACCCCAGAGTCAGTCGCATCCACCTGCTAAATCCTGAACCCAAAGGCCATGGGCAACTATTCGACAGTCAATTGGATTTTCTGGGCTCAGAGAAAATATCATAAGGATGTGGACTGCCCTTGAACGAGTGAAACAAACTAGAGGGTGGATGGAGTCACAACTGCCAAGCGCTTGTGGTAACAGTCGAGATACACAGGGTGGCATCAACATTTCAATTCAGGTTCATGTGAACTCAAAAGCAGGAAGGAGCTAGAAGCAGAAACGCCACCTGAACATGGAAGGGAAGGAGGTGGCTGTCACACAAGCTGGGCCAGCGAATTTCCACTAGAGGGCAGCAATGCTTATAACCCAGCAATGCACTGCCAAGGGGCCATCCCAAAGCAAAACCAAACAGGCCTCTGGGAGCTTTCCCTTCTCTGTGATCAAGGCCTCCCTCCCCTGGTGCAGTGGGAGGAGCAGCAGGACGCTGGCTGTGCTGCGTTGGCTGTGGGTGCTTACCTGGGTTGGGCTGCAGGTATTCTATAGTTCTGGTTAATACTTCTGTGACTGCCTTGCTGGTAACATCCACTTTCTGCAGGGAGAGGGAGACCCAACAGAGTCAGCAGCCGGCTCTGAAACGCATGGAGAGGAACGCGGAGCCATCTGTTACCCTACTCACCTTTTCCATTTCTTTGAAGTCATCGTCCAGCTTGGTCCCTTCCGCTCCACCGACCTTTTCGCTGACCAGCTGCAGAGACACAGTGAACAAGGGACATGTCAGTCATGCAAAGGGGCCATTCCCTTGAAGTCCTGATCGAGCTTTTCCTCTCCAGAATGAGGGAGGCCCCAAAAGCAGCTTGCTCCAGCATCACAAGGTTTAGGGTGTTGTCACCCTTCCCTGTCCGATCCTGCACCTCTTACAAGCGCCGAACCTCAGTGGCTGTTAGTGGCCCGAGCAGCTTGAGACAACTGCGAGGGAAACACCACAAAGATGTGGTTCCTTAAAGTGGTCAGAGTCAGTGCTTCGACCGAGAATTTCTCATGGGTGTACTGTTCTGGCTGAGCTTGTCTGCGCAGTGAAAGCCTCTGCATGCTCCTGCGAGTCTGAATTGATTCGCTACAATGGCCTGTCAATGGCCTCCCCGTTGATGGGGGGGACAGGGACGACAGAACTAGGGATGTTAAATTTAGTTTAATCGACTAGTTGATGGAATTTCTGTAATTAAGTCGATAAACAGGGTAGCCGCAGTGGGGTTAGCTCCCAGCCCTGAGAGCTCACCCCACTGTGGCTCTGCCTTTTAAACATACTAAGAGCCAGCAGGCTCTTAATACATTTAAAACCCCGTTGATGGGGGGGACAGGGACGACAGAACTAGGGATGTTAAATTTAGTTTAATCGACTAGTTGATGGAATTTCTGTAATTAAGTCGATAAACAGGGTAGCCGCAGTGGGGTTAGCTCCCAGCCCTGAGAGCTCACCCCACTGTGGCTCTGCCTTTTAAACATACTAAGAGCCAGCAGGCTCTTAATACATTTAAAAGGCTGAAGC